TATATATATATATTTTTTTTTTTTTTTTGCTCGGCATAATTTATGATAATTATACAATTAAGAAACACCTCGTTAGTTATATCTTCACATATGTTGACATGATCATGATTTTAAGTAATATTCAAAGGTTCCAATCGGCAGTCAATGCTTATAAAAACGTTATTACTAAAAAATGTGCAAAGTAAATTATTGAATTTGTTAAGTTAAATCTTACCAAGCGTGAAATTTACATTGTTTCTGTGATTAAACTTCGATCTCAAGATGATATTGATGGTGATAAACATATAAATTAATTAAGGTGATCGACGAGGTGTCTTTTACATAATAAATTATGTAAAAGAAAAAAATTTTTTTAAAAGAATACAAAGTACTTTGAGAGGAGAGTTTCTTAAATCAATTGTGGTAGCGAACATGTTAGAAAATACACATTCTATATATCTTATTACAATATCATACATACTAAAATTTGTATACAAATTGCGTGTTTTAGTGGAGGTAACGAACTAAGTGGCTTTACGGTTGAACAGTATTACCAACAAGTAAAAAACTTCCAACAGACAGTCGAATCAGCTATAGCAGAGTCTGGAACTAGTCACATTATCTCAGAATAACATTATATGTATATTTTTAGTACATCTAGAAATTTACCTGTACAGTGTTAGCGTTACATGTAATTGTTGAAATGGTGCGTTATAGAGGTCGTGTTTTTTAAATAGATGTGTTCACTAGGATCTTGAAATCTTCGAATTTTTAGATTATTGAACAAAATGTCAATTTTTTGAATTTGAAATTTTGAGGAAATTATTAGAAGTACTAATTTGCGTGAAGAAAAGTTTTTATACCAATTATACTATTAACATTTTTAAGAAATTGTTAAAGAGAATCTTCACTTAGTGTTCTTTGTTTCAAGATCTCTAAGTGTAGATTTCTTTATCGCTTGCTGCACTATTTTCTTCCACTTCTTTAAGAAACACGTCCTATATTTTGCACTAAACTGCAGTCGTTGATAATCGATCTGCATGGGATTTCTATTTCCGTTCGACTGCACGGTTTACATCGCACCGATTAATCGTTAATACTTGATAAAGGAATGTAAATTCCGTCAGGTCGACCGGAAGTAATCGAAACTGGGCATTTACACAAATTCTGTAATAGACTGTCGATTTTATATTTTTTTAACTGGAATCATGATATCTTTCTCTCATTGATTACGGTGGTAGAATTTCGACGTGTTATCGATAAATTTATAAGAAACCAGGCATCGTTAATGAATGAGGAAGGATGTTTGCATGTAAAGTAAGGTTTTAGGGTTACCAGATATACATGAGAGAGGCTTTTATCAGTTATTGGCGAAAGAGAAGCAATTTCTGCGAAAATCACAACGTTAAACGTTGCGTTTTCATTTACGATAATGTGTGGATTATATTACTATAGGTTATAAGTGAACCCTGCGTGCCTTGTACGCCATAAAAGCGCGTCCATTATTTATTTACCAACGGATTGTAATAAGCTTTTTATATATCGCGAGTTGCATGCAATGTGAAAACTTTTTCTGAAATCTGTAATAAAGAGAGTCAATCTTTTAATACAATGTACACAAATACTACTCATTAAATATGTACATTGACATGATAACAAGACGGTGTAGTTACGTTTCCATGAAAATGATTTTGTCTCACGCAGCGATTATACAGAAAGTTTATTAATACTTGCATATTAATATTTGCATATTGGTATTTGCAGCTTCCAATGTCATAATACAATTTTATGACACTTTGCTTTGCCAAGTGGTTCTCGTGACGCGAACACAGCGAAATCACTTTTATGAAATGCAAAGGTTAAATGTTATTGAGTGAACACGCAGGTACTGCTTAATTACCTATTCGAAGTAAAGGCATAGTCATAAAAAGGCTTGTCGTATATATACTTTGTTTAAAACGATGATCGATTTTGTTTATTAGTTTTCTTTTGTTGTATATATAAGTATGTGTTACAGTTGATTACGTATATTACGTATATTAATAATTGGGGAAGAAATACGACTGCATTTTCAGTATGTATATATTCTCTTGGAGCACTATTTACATATATACAGTAGAGTGTGTGATAAAATATATGATAATCGATCAATCGGTTCGTTAACACTACTTCTTCCCTGGATTTGTCTAAATTTAAAGTCTTAGATGTAATCTATAAAGATAAGGCTTGCTCTTTGCTAAGATGATAATTTATATATTCCCTTTCTTAATCTTCTGCAATTTGCTTATAATTCTGGACAATTTTTCTTAAATTTTTGTAACTGTGCGTTTGTATAGCAAGATGTATGTGTGTGTGTGTATGTCTCTTTTGAAAATCCAAATTATATATTTTATCCTAAATGTAATGAAAATGAAATAGAATGAGAGTAAGAGAGAGAGAAAAAGTGAGAATGTTTGGTACTTGATTATTTCGAAACAACAAAAACTATTTTCCTGCTATCTTGGAAAAACAGTTTTAAATCGCGTATATCCAGCCGCACTAACGTAAGAGAAATTTATTAGGAAGATTGAAAGAGATTATATATCTTCTGAAACTTTTTCAAATGTTAAGTCCAATACCTGCGAAGCATAATTTAAAGTTGTTTTTCTTGCGAGAAGCTACGCATGTCGTTAAGTTCATTCTGTAGCGAGAAATTTGACTCTCGGCATGCTCTGTTGTCAGTTTTTCCAGACAGATTCGGTTATTTTCAGTGTTACTAGTATTCCAATAAAAACTGCCAAATATAGTGTAATTATATGACTGATGTCAGCTGACATTCGATCTATCTCAGAGCTCGGAATTAGTTGCCCATTTCGGCTGATTCTCAGGAACTACGCCTTCTATCTTCCCCTTGCCGCGAGCGGGTCACGAAAATGACGGCCAGTCGCGGCTTCAAGCTTGGAGGCCCGAACTTTTGTGACCCGCTCGCGGCAAGGGGAAAATAGAAGGCGTAGCTCCTGAGAATCGGCCGAAATGGGCAACTAATTCCGAGCTCTGGTCTATCTGATTAGACGAATCGTATTGGGATCCTAGCAACACGTTGGAAAGAAACATCGAGAATCTGTCTGGAAAATATGACCATCAAACTCGCAACACACCGAAAGTCAAATTTCTCGTTATAGAACGAACTTAGCGGCATGTATAGCTTCTTGCAAGAAAAACAACTTCAAATCACACTTCTGAGCGCATTGGACTTTAGTATTAATTACTTTCATGTTAGTTCAGTATTTTTACCTATAATCTTGAGATGGAAGTTTGTTCCATCCATTCGATAGATCCATCTAGCGTGCAAAAAGTGAGTTAAAAAGAATTGATAAAAATTCATTTCGTGAAGTTTCAAACTTCTAATCTTCGTGAAAAGTGATTAATCTTGCAATTATCGAATTTGCTACTCTACTCCTTTCTACTTCTACGTGTTATACTCAGTTTCTTCGGTTAACCTCCGGTTAACTTTATCAGTTATTTCATTGGAATTGACCAATCGCATTTATGGTTGGCGAGAGTTAACCAGTCACGGTTAACATTTAACCGATAGATAAAGTTAACCGGAGGTGAAGAGATTGGGCATTAATCTTCCTTCTAAGACGGTGTATGTCATATCGGGATTTTGAAGAAACAGCAATCCCTTACCTAGAATTAAGATATATTAAAGTAATATTCATCCTTCCCATATTTCATGTTTGGCATTTAGATACGTCGCTAAGTGTACGCCAATATATCGAGAGTAAAAAGAGATAAAGGGGAATCCAAAACTGTGAAAACTGCAAGTCCCGACTTCGAAGACAACGTGTTTCTATGTAAGATCACCAAAATGAATTTCTGTCAATTCCCTTTAACGCGTCTGCTTCTTGTGTAGGTTCATGTTGCTTCGCGAGCGACTACCGGCCGTCAATCCTAGCGCATCCTGTGACTCGAACAAGCGTCCTTGAAGTTTGTCGCATTGAACGGCACGAAATAGTCGTCGTGCAATTGCCTGATGATATTCTCTATCGGGCACAACTTGACGCTCTTTTTGCCCGTCTGCTCGCCGTCGTCGCTGTAGACGTTGGCGTTCCTGCAGAACGGGATCTTCGGGGTGAGATCTCGGCCGTTGGCGACCACGCGAAAGTAGAAGTCGCTGGCCAGACGATTGTCGTTTCGCGGGTTGATCTTGTAAACCTCGATCACGAGCCTGGAGGCGTAGTGCGTCGCCATGTCCGAGACTATCCCGAGGGCCGTGGCGAGGTACTCCAGGGTCTTGTCGTGGCCGGAGTAGAAGACGACCTTGGGCCTGGCTTCGGAAATGATGCGCAGCATAAAGGTGACGATGCTGCGCAACATCCCGTACGCCTTCAGCAGCCCGTACTTGTTACGGCTGCTGCTCTTGGCGATCTGCTTCGACTCCCAGTCCGTGTAAGCGAACAACCCGGTAACGTGGTCGCTCTTCACGCACGTCCGTTGCGTGTCGAGGTCCGCGCACGGCAGCGAGGCTCCGTGGCACACGTATGTTAATAACGCGTCCCTCAGCGTGTTGGGATCGCAGGTCTGCGCTTGATCCGGAAGCTCGAATACAGCATTCGCCGCCTGTCTGATCAGCTCGCTAACGGCTGGATGAGACTTCAAATGACTGCTGGTCTCCTGGAGAAAGTTGAGATAACTTGAGCACGCAGAAAACAATTGCCGAGATTTATGTAAAGTTTTCCCAGTGTTTTTCATACAAACTAAATGTTCTTTTTCAGTGAGTAAACTATGTATGAGTTACTTTCCAGTATTTATGAGTAAAAAATGAAAGATAATGCATCTCTTAAATGATTTAAAAGAGTATTTTTCTCACATAGAACTGTGAAATTTGCGAATTTGAAGAAACGTTATAGATTGATTTAGAAAGTAGAACATGAATGTAAAATTTAAAACACTTGTCTGTATGTATGTGAAAATTTTGATGTTTCATTTAAAAAAAAACCGTTTTATTATCAGAGTTTTATTTAGATTTAATAATAGACATTTATAAATTTGCCACAAGAGTTGTCGTTCCCCGTATGATGCTCTGCAGATTTAATGATACTTTTCAATTAAATATTTAATATTTTGGACCCATATTTCCAAAATCTTAATTCGGCAAATTTAATTACCGAAATATATATGTCAGATGAAGGAAAAATATGGTAAAGTTTTACCCGGAATTTTAACTGACAAGTTCAAATTCGTATATATTCGTATACGCGTTCGACATCCGCGATAAAAAGAGAGAAGTGGACAGCGAACGTAGCTAACTGTGAACGTTCGATACATTTTTATCGCTAAACAAAATATAAAAAACCATGTTCTTTTTATCCATTAAAAAAAATGTAACTGTATACTCTTCAATATATTCCAGCACGGTCCGTATATCACTTGCGATATGCATCTACGTGTCACAAGTAGAGCGCAGACAGCGGACGCTTTAAAGAGAGATTTATTTTCGTCGCAAAAAAGTTATTATCGCCTGAAAGTTTAATCAAGTTGCACGTTGAAAAACAACTTTTAACGTCACATCTGGCAGGACGACTCGGGCCGGCCTAAGTAACTTTATCGGGTTTTCTGAGAAAGCGGAAAGTGCAACTACATTGGCACAAATTATTTAACACGTCCCTCAGAGAAACTGGGATAACATTTTCGGCCGGTCGAAAATCTGGACGCGAACGTTACTTATCGAATCTCCTTTAAAGAGAACGAAGAGCGACTCGTCATGGACGGACTTTATATATCTGTTTAGAAAGCAAAATAATTAATTGGAGGAAGCGCTTTATCGATACCAAACCGATATACTTTGCATAATTATTCGTAAAGTTTCTAGACCGTTCGAATTTTAGGACGCGACTTATAATGTAAACATGATTCCATTCTAACAAATGAATTATGTATGTTCAACACGTATTTCTTCAAGTTTTCTTTCATGTAAGACGACTCGTATTTCAATTATTTGTAGTTTTTCTCGATGTTATTTGTCGCTCTTGTTACCTTCAGATATTGTTTCAAAAACTTTTCGGCGGCGGGACAGGCGCACTCGTTATTGCAAAACGCGTAGCTCTGGCTCTCCTGCAGACTGATCCTCGCCAAGCTCTGGAAGCCGTCATTCTCGAAGAGCGCGTAGAGCAAGGCCACGGCGCTCTGTACGGTCCTCCGGTAGGAAGTGCTGTAGACGATGATGTCCTTGCCGAAGGAGGTGCCGTTGCCGAGGTTGAGCTTGTGGTAGTACGCGTTTCTCAGTAGAATACCGGTTTTCAGCAATTGCAAAATACCTAGCGTGGTCAATTGGCCGATTTTGCAATCGCGTGCGTTCGCCGGCAGTATCGGTAATCCGTGAAACGGGCCCAGGAATTGGGCCCAGGCGGTTCTCGAATAGCTGGACACGTTCTGCACGAAATTCACGTAATTCTCGTAGATTGTCTCCAATTCCGTCGCGCTGCCGAATTCACCGCCGCAATTGATATTGCTTATATTTCGTATGTGCGTCAAAGGGCCTCTGTCTCCGTGGCGAATGAAAATCAGTATACCGCCTAGGGTCAGGTTGCCGTCAACTCTTCCTGTTCCGTGAAAGAAACGTATAATTACGTATCATGCGTGTAATAATGCGTTTCGCAGAAAAAAAATGCAATTCAATGCAGTGCAATTTTACTTTAACTCCAGTCGAAAGGGGATTTTGTTAATTTTATGTTTCATGACTTTTTCTTTAAAAGGGAACAAGCTAATATTTATGAAATATATCGCGAGGGAAATATATAAAACGCAAATATATATTAAATTTCGTATACCTGAAAGTTTCTCAAGTTACTCTCTAAAGTAAAAGTAGTAAAAGAAAATACCTTCTTATGTAAATAACGGATATCTCTTCAATTCTTTTGTATTATATTATTACTCAACGCAGCTGTGTACTCTTTGTAAAATTCGCTAGAAGAAAGCTTATTATTTACGACGAATGAAACTTTTAAAATTCTACTTTTCAACTGGAGTTGAATCTGTTATATAATCATAATAGATTAATAGAGAACTCTCCCACTTTACGCGCGATGGCTCTTATCGATCTCGTGTAAAAATATCTACGTCGTGACTAGAATTATTTTTTAACCTTGATACTCGATACTCGATACGCTCCAAATTTTGGAGTGTAGAAGTTTACAGGCAATTGTATAGCGTACCTTCGGTGTCTGCGACTATTTCGTGTGGTAAATTGCAAAAACGAAAGATCTTCTTTGTCTTTGCGTCCGGTTTTAAATTTCTTGGGAACTCTCGAAGTGACAAGTCGTTGTTCAGAACTCTTGTTTGCACCGAGGTTTTCTCGTCTACGCCAATATATTTGTACATACCTGTTTACATACATATATACATACATACATACGTACATACAGAAGTGTAAAGTATGTAAAGTAGTTAAGATCGAAAACCGGAAACACTTGGCGTGTCCGAGTCGCATTAAAGCACACGTAAACGTAATTACGAAATCTCGATTTTTGCGCGAAAACTATAGAATATTTTAACGCAATTAACATATGATACGTACTCGTGAGTACAATTTATTAAGGCTTATGTTTTAATGAGACTCGGACACGCCAAGTATTTTTGGCTTTCAATTTTAATTTCACTTTTTCCGAAATTTTCTACCACGGAAGAAGCTCCGAAATGGACCAAAACATTTGGTATACCTATATAAATGTTAGCTTATAGTATTTGTGTGCAAAACACTGCTGTTGCAACAGATTCTTTTTTATTTCTAGCTAACACAACTTTCAAATATCACTATTTTTGCAGGAACTGTTCTCACTTGACGTAACTTCATGATGTCGTTCTTTTCTATAGGAAATAAATGTCTCAAAAGTCTTTTTTGAATTTTTTTTATATATAAGTAAGTTTAAATTAATAAGTATTTTCAGTTTTATGCTTTTTACCGTATACAAGTTTGAATGTTTTGTTATGTACATTTTTTATTTTCCTGTACTCATTTGTCATACATGTCGACGATGATTAAACGCTTCCTTTATTTTATGACAAAAATAGAACAAAATAGAGTCGTCGTTATAATGCAACGCAATAATATTCAGCTATACAGTCCATTATTGGAAAACTAAACTGCGTTCTATTATTATAGTTCCATTATTAAAACTAAAGTGACGAACAGAAGCGCTTAAGTAGCCGCGCGATAACGTCTCTACAACCTACATTTAAAAATAAAAATCCACCAATCGTGTCACAAGAATTCGATATCTAAAGATCTCGGAATTTTCGATGAGCTGACAATCGCCACTGTAAAAGCAACAAAGATCTTGAAAATCAAAGGTCTTGCAGTTAAAAGTCATGAAAAAAATCTAACGAATTAAAAATTTACGGATAAAGAAGATAATTTTAATTGCTCAAGTCGTCCACGGGTAAATATAGAATTCGCTTTGTGCGATTTTTAAACTTGAGCGTTTGACATTTAAGTGAACAAAAAAACAACGCTTCGTACAATTAGTGTCACTTTAACAAACGTATAGATCGGTTTTCACACCGAAATCTGAGGGTCGCGATCATAAATCTTCTTCTCTAAAGTGAATTCATGAATAATGAGAATTTTCTAGCTTGAAAGCATTTGGAAATGTTCACTTTTCGCGAGTTTACTGTAGAGGAAAAATTTCATAATCTTTCCCAGCTGAGCCGGCCGCATGTCTCGTTAGTCTCCACGAGGTTTTCAACTGTTAATTTTTTAAAATATCCAATCGGGAGCATTCTCACCCGACCTGTCCTTCCGTACCGCAATGCACAAAATTAGCGACAAGAGATAATCATTACCAGCGACCAGCAGGAAGATCCATACGCTGAGGATCACGTAGCAATAGAACGCCTTGTGTTGGTAGGACAACCGGACCATTTCTGCGAGCATCCCTCAGCGGTTTCAGGCCCCGCGGGACCGATTCGCAGGCCAAAGAGCGGTAACGACGTCCCGTCACTACGGCTACGACGGCGAAGAGCGACACGACGAGGACGCAGTTGGCTTGCCGTCCTGCTTGAGGCCGCTCGAAGCTGCATCTTCAAGCACCCTTCGTCCACCCTTTCCGCATATTTGTCGGCAGCCCAGCGACGCACCTGATCACCTGATCAACGCGAAGAATCCCGAGCGGCGATGAGGACAGCGACGGCGACGGCGGCGGCGGCTGCGGCGACAGTAGCAGGAAAAATCGCCGACTTCCTTGCGCGTCTTCCCGAGGTGGAACTGCCGGTCTTGGCATGGCGATAACAGGGGTAGATATGCCAGGGTGTTTGAAGCGCAGGCGCTACCACCGGCTGCCCTCCACCCCTGAAGAATCGAGTAGTTTCCCGCGATGGGATAGTCGGTCTACAGGGTGGCTTTCGCGCAACGTTTATCGACCTTCTTTTATCCGCGCGGTTATCAATTGGAAAGCCCAGTCAGCAAGAGCCGGTCGGTTATGCACTTTCTGTCGAGAATAGAGTTTCACGTCGTCTCGCGAAATATTAAAAGTAGATCTGTGAATACGATCGTGGGCTTTCTCTGACAATTACTGGCCGGCGCGAGGATGGATCATCCGACATTCTGCGTCTGACCGACTTTTACACGAGACATAATCTCCTCTTTAATACATGCATGTAAAAAGTACTGGTTTTTGCTTCCAGCGTAAATTACTGTGATGCAATCATATCGTAATCGCGTCAAGTTTCCCTCGCCGTCTAATCCGTTCAATCTCCTTTCCGTGAAGACGGAGCTTATGATTCTGCTTGCGAAGTTGAAATGAAGGATTGAGAGCGATATGGTTTCTGCCTTTTCTTTTTCTATCTGATGTACTTTTCATATTTATCCATATTCCAATATATGTGTGACATTATTCCAATATGACGTCTCAATGCATATGTATAGAAATGATCTCTATGGCTATTTAATACAATAGAACAAGTGGAAAAGCCCAGCCACGACGGTTTTTGCTTTTAAAGCTTTCGACTGTGAAGCTTTTAAAGTTTACAAACCGCTCGTTGCAAGTGGTTATTATTAGAACTGCGATGTCGCGAATTCCGTGATAATTTCTCCCACATGTTTCGAACTGCTCGTCGCAAAAAATCACCGGCACTACAGTGTCGCGTACATATTTTTTTTCGTATTCCATATGTTTGACCAAAGGCCAGATTTACAGTTTACATCACAACACACAGACGTTGCCAGATATTCGAGTCAGTTAAAGTCAGTTACAATCTCAACTCCGTGCGCGGAATTAATTAGTTTCGAATTGTCGACTGCGGAATGTCTATCATTACGATCGAATCGTCCATCACTGAGCTCGTCTGCGTCTCTTTTTATACACGTTTTAATGTTGAAAAAGCATCATATTCACGATTTCAGCATTGATTCCAGCGGCGGTCCTTGATTCGGCGAGATCTTCCAAGAGCCGAATGACCGTGAAAAGCAAATTTCAGTTGTCGCCGCCGAGGAAAGCGGATGCTGATGTTGCCAGTCGGCTTCGCCGCGCTCTCTCGGCTCGGCGGTAAATATATTCCGTTTAAGACTGATGGTTAGATTGTCCCGCAGTTGACGGTTAGTCTCGAGTTCTCATATCAGGGCAGTTGACGCGAGTTACATCGGCGCGAGTTACACACGAGTAATCGCGCCCGTCTACTACATCGTCGCCGGGCACGCAACCGTCATTGGTAATTGAACGCCCCCGCGACATTGTAAACTCAAACGATTCTCAGACGAGAGCGATATTCCTTGTTAATAAGGGCCCGTCTGAAACCGATGCCTTGCCTTGCCGAGGCAAGGGGACACGCCTTGGTAAAGTGGCTGCGCGACTCAAACAAACAAATCGATCAAAGGAAACTCTTGTTCGTTCTCTGTGTAGTCAAGAGATTATTGTTGCCATGCCTTCCTAGAAGTGTCCTACCGCTGTTATCACACTACTTTTTTAATGCTTTAATTTATTTAATATACGCTATATATTTATACATATTTATTTAATATTTTATAATATTCTGATTTTGTTTTAATTTTAGTGTGTTTTAATTTAATGTGTTTTAATTTTCTTGATGTTTCAATTTATTGCTCATTAAATCGGTATTAATCTTCACTTGTAATTCGACATCGTCAGAAAATGTTGACCTTGTGTTCTGCTAAAAATATTCAATCTTGTATATTCAATCAAGTATTTTGCCCTCAATGTAATTCTTCATCATATATATCTTGCCGAATAAGACAGAAATTGGATTTCCCACAAATAATGAAAATATGTAGCTTGCGAAAATCGCGTGTATAGCTATCAACGGCCCTTAATTTGACTCTGTCAACAAATTTTGATCTTTTCTTCTATCTAAAGGTGTCAAATTGCTCTATTATCGTCTTTACGTTAGAGCAATTGATATTTCTAACGTCTATTATGTCGCATCAAGAGATCAGAGCAATGATGTAACACGTTATATGCATTGCTCTGCAGAGGAAGAGAGAAAGAGGGAGAGACAAAAAGAAAAAGAGAGAGAGAAAATAAATCGTAATAAATATGCGATAACAGTGATAGGATATTTTCAGACAGATACGTCAATCGCTTTGAGTCGAGTCAGTTGGAGAGATCTGAGCCAAACAAACAATAAACACGCCGTGGTCATGCTCGTCGCGCAACGATTCGTTCGTTTACAGCTGAAATTCGGCTTCTCGTGACTTCGTGCGACCACTTCGGCGAGCGAATATTGCTCGTAATTCGTTCGATAATTCGATTGCCAAGATCAGTGTATCTTCTTATGCTGCCCACCAGCAATACTTTCAAGTATTGCCAATCGCGCGCAAGCACGAGTGCACGAACCCTCACCGTCTCGTTATCATTATCACCATCATCGTCTACCCACGTGCCTGATCTCGTAGCCTTGGCAAGATCATTGCCACCGTCACGATCATACGCGGAATGTCATTGTGATAATCATAACAAGCGTCTCCATTGCTAAATGCGTAGTAGTCAAAATCGATGATTTCGTCGGGCTGATAATCGGGCCATCTTTTATAGAGATTGCCTTAAACACCCCAGAGTAAGCCCGTCCAAGGAAGCCATCAACGAGCCATGTCGTCCTTTTCGGTTCAATACGAATTGTCACGAGAGACTCCGTTCGTCTCGCGAGAATTCATTGGTGTACTCTCGCTGAAATACATTCAGTAATACGTTGAAGTCGGAGTCGCGGTCTTGATCGTAATCAAAAGGGGACGTGCTCTTATTAAAATTAATAAAATCCAAGCTAATGGAAGCAAGCGCGTCTGAAAGCTAAATTAGAGCATGTGATAATGTATGTCAAATCAACCCAGATAGCATAAAACATATCAGAATCACCTTGGATGTGTCCCGGATGCTTTAGAGAGTGCCGTAGGACGTCCTGAGTACATTCAAGATAACCTCAGAACGTTCTTTGTAATCTGGAAAGTCAATCTTAGAGATGCAGCCATCTAGATTCGGTACTCCTCGTATTTTCTGGTACATTTAATTATGTATGTAATATTTTATTTAATTCTTGATGTGTAAATTATATTAAAATAACAAACTTTCGTACAAATTCTCTTCGATTTTGCTGTTTTTAATAATTCAGTAATAAACTGTCAGTAAGGTGTATTTTGCTGAAAAACATAATAACTTTCGCTGGAAACATAGCAAGTGTTTTGGTAATACGTTTTAATATAAAAGTAGCACATATGAAGTAAAAGAATAGTGATTTATTGCAGAATGTCGATTCATTTCTAGGTTACAAAATAATAATTTTTGCTGTAAAATATTCCTTTCAAAATAACTGTGTTCTTGGTTTTCAGTTTTCTAGAGCACACTAGTGGGTCTAGCTTTCTCAAAAGATTCCACATGGGTAGTAATCCATGCAGCTGGAAAACTCGAATCATCTATTCGGTATTGCAGAAAAAGGTCGTCCGCACCTGCTCGTATTATGATCTGACCTGAAACCGGTCTGTTTCTGTAGCCCATCCACTGTTTCTATAGCCCACTGAAAAAAAGGAAGAAAGAAGGAGAAAAAATACTAGAAAATTTATTTGTGAGATATGAAGTTTATTTTCGTGAAAAATAAAGCTTATTTCTGCGAATGAACTTTATAGCCCACAAATAAATTTTCCAATGTTCCTTTCTCAGTACACATTCGTACGTTTGTTGAATTAAACAGATTTAGAAAAATCGTTAAGAATACCGGCGAAGAAATATCACTTTTGAAAGATCATTTATTCTCGAATACGAAGCTTCACTCTCGATGAATATATTAATAATTTTCTGAAGCAATTTTTAGAATACTAACCGCCGCTTTAGAGAGAAACAGAGAGAGAGAGATTAATAAATTCCACGACAGAAATGAAGCGGTAGAATTCTAATGGCTCGTGGTTAAACGCGAGAATTAATAATTGAGACGAGACCGAGATAAATCATTATTTAGTCATGCGAGTCATGCGCGCCAACTGCGGCGTTGAATAAATTTTCGAGAGAAAGATGGACTTTCGCAGATCCATAGAGATCGTAATCGCAGAGCGATCGGATCGATCGGGCAGATACGTGATGCAACACGGAGAACGCAGAACGTAAAAGTACAGCGTGTATGCTACTCTGTGCTACGGCGGCCGGTTCGAAAGTCCTATCGCTCTTGTTGCAATCAACACAGGGGTGGAAGGTCAGCTGAAACAGCTTGACGTCTTGTAAAGATAATGTATTTACGATGTCAACTTTCCTTTGTCCCTCTCGATGTGCGTATAATAATTCGTTATCTTCGCGGAGCGCATAAACTGGCTAATATCTCTCCATTCATTCGACGTTCCGTCGAAAACGCTGCATGTCGCAGTGAGTATCTCCGGGTATTTTTAATGATTTCAGTCGTGCGTTACGGTAAATAAGAGCAACGTTAAAGAACGCAACGCCAACAATAGTCAAGTGAACAACATCAAGTGAACGCACTTGGAAATTATTCAATGCTAAGTATTAAAGATTCGTGGCGAATCGCAAACCTCGACATTGGCTTTTCTGCTACGTCGATAATTTTACCCCAAATATGATTTTCTTTCCATTAATATCTTTTTGGGTGTCATTACTAGTACATCATCTTTTTGTTTTTTCTTTATTTGCGCACTGGCTGTAATTAATTCTCTCTTTATATTTATCCTTCTATTCAACTGAATATCGAAGAGCCTTGAACTTATTTTTTTTTCTTTCAACTTAACGTCAGAATTAATTATAAAAAACAACATATATACATATTATATACGTATTATATGCGACGCGATACTCTCTCACTGAAGCAGATGACTGCATCACGACGTTTGATTAGCTTCTTACATTTTTTCATTAGCTAGCACATTTTTTCGCTTCGCCCGTGCTAGATTGAACTCGCACTCGCGCTCCGATCGAAATTAGAACGCATTATCGAGACCGCGTACGTTGCGATTTCATGGCCGGATGTTATTTTCCGAGATATCAGGCAGTGGAAACGGCCGGCGGATTACCACGTGCGGCGTGTCGAGCGAACCGAAGACCGAATCGATCTCGAGCCATTACGCAAATCAAACGCAAAGCGGAATTGACCGTGCGGGCGTTTTTCAAAACGGCGGCCATCCGTTTATGTGGATGCGTGCGATCTGCCAGCAAGGAAGTGCCAAACTAGATAAGCGCGCTGCCACATTCATTACTTCCGTCTACCACGGATGCGCCACGCTTCAACGCATTCGAGTTGCATCGCCGAGAGAAGATCGGTTCATCTCCGAGATTATACAGGATGGTTCGCCATTATCGACCGTTTCTCTCACATAATTCTCAAGCGTGCGCGATATATTCTATTTCCACTCTCTCCCGCAGGAATCTCGTTTCATCTCGCGATCCCGGGTCGCGATGAATTTTGTCCCGTTAGGTGTAATTGTATCTTAATCGCAAATTCTCGATTGTCATCCTAAAGAAGCTTGTGAATAAATTATAAAACTTCCCGCGATATCTCTCCCGCGGTTCTCCGTCGCGACGAAGGTAGAGACCCAGACAGCGCAATCCACTAAAAGGTGTCTTAAATACTACGTCAAAAAGCTCTGCCACTCCTCTGAACGTCTTTTGGACGTCTTTCGGACGTCTTTGAGACATCTTTTAGTAATTTGTGCCGTCTGGATAAACTGTCCCGCAAATTCCTCGACTTTTTTCAGACAGAGCGCAAGAGACAGGGAGAATGAGGGAAGAGAAATGGCGCGCTGAAGGTCCCGAAGCTGTTTCTCCAAATTCGCCGCCAATCGATCCGACACGCAAGTCGATTTTGAGGGATTTTCAATTCACCATCGGCTGCACGGCTGGTGACGTTTCCCTACGGCGTTGATTGATCTCTCGCCCGCGAATGCTTCACGCTGCGAGCAGTGGTGAGGAGGATCGGAGCGGCTCTCTCGACTATGAGTGGGTACGAGCGGAATCTCGTACAGCACGCCGAACAGTTCGAATCTCGCTTCCCCGCGACGACGGTCGCCCGTGCGCTCTACCACGCTCGCCTCGCTCGAATTTCGATCTTCGATCATGATACGCGGACGGACGAAGACGTGCAGGTGAAACGTGTCGTTACCCGCCGCGTTACCTGCTCGCCGACTCGCCTGTCTCGCTTTCATAGAAAACAGGAGGGACACGTGTCGTTGCGTAAGCAAGAGGGGACCGAGAAGAAGAGAGTAAAAGTAAATCGACGTCGAAGCCGGGATTTCTTTCGCCGGGAATATCTTTCGTTGGTGGTGACAAAGTTTGTGCGAAGCTCGTGGAGGGTTTAATCGAAGCTGGTTCCCAGCCGGATCGTGAGAGGCAAGGTAATTCTCCATTGTGCGGATCGAGATAATCCGCAAACGCGCGCGTGCGAATCGATTCTGGCGGATTTTGAATTTGCGCGCTACGGAGTGTCCGGGTACGTGAGTCTCGAGGACCTCCCTTAGTTTTGGTAAACTGTTAGTCGAGGGATCGACGTACAATCGGAAGGGACAAGGGACTGTCATAAATCAACGCACACACAATTAACATCAATCGCTACCGAGACGTACGCGTCGGCCGGACATGGCAGAGCAGCGTCGTGCATACGCGACACGTCCACTAACGTTTTCCGATATGTCTCCCTCGTAATGTAAAACACAAGTGTTATTTTGCGTGACAATTATTTAAAGAGATGTGTGGTCTGTGCGGGGGAAGTTCCTCTGGAACTCGGAGTGTCGAGTGAATGTGTTATAAAGCAGTTGGATACTCATTTAAACATCATTGGTTCGACGTCAATAATAGATCTGTTTGTCTCGCCGTTTTTCCGTACTTTTTTTATTAAAAATAAAAATGGTTACACGTTTTCGTTACATTTTGAAAGAAAGAGGTTTCCAGTTTGTCCTGAATGTATGTTTGTGTGTTCCCTCAAAACTTGGAAATCATCAGAGATATTGAAGTGAAATTTTTTTTCGTAACTTGTTTTAATATGTTATCAATATGGTTCTTAGATTGTTGTCACATTATCCGGGTTTGTTGAGGTGATCTAGAAATTTGATATTTCCATCATTTCCTTGAAAATACGGAAACGTTCAGAAATACAAGAAGAGACTTTCATTTTCGACTGATTTTTTAAAAATAAACTTTTAGCAAATAAAAAATACAAAATAAAAAACTTAAAAAGAAATTAACCGACTTCAGAAACCTTTGAAATCCCCAAAAGTATGCAATAATTTTGAATCAATATTCGTATGCAGCTACGAATCTATGGTAATATTTTAACGCTGTTAAAAGTAAACGCGAAAATAACAAATTAAGTAGTTAACTAACTACAAAGCTATAAGGAGATAAATAATAAAAGAGAATGTATATGATTATTAACTCGATCAAATCAGGTTTTCACGCCAACTTTCAATGTCGTAAGACTTCCGATGTCGAATAGGAGATTGTAAGTTCATAGAAACGTTGATTCAAAATTATTTTATATTCTTTACGACTTTTAAGGTTTTTGAAGGCGGTTTATTTATTTATTTTAAATTTTGTACGTAGCACATATTTTCAGATAGATCGATAGATAGATAGATAGATAGATAGATAGATAGATAGATAGATATATATATATATATATATATATATATATATATATATATATATAGAGAGAGAGAGAGAGAGAGAGAGAGAGAGAGAGAGTAGAATCAAAATACTAATAGAAAATGCGAGTATATAAACGGATCTGTTGTAGAGTAATTAATAAAATTAAATTAATCTTATACGATTCGCTGAGTCGATAGTAACGACGCTTAAGCAAATAACACATGACGTCTCTATTACCATTCATAACGTCCATTACTAATCACGCGGACAATGCGATATAATATCAGATAATTTTATCGACACGGTGTCGAAAAAGAAGAGAAAAACGCCGTGAAGAATCGAGATGCATTTTGCAGAAATATCTTTCCACGTTTAGGGCTAATGAGCGTGCGCTTCCTCGTTAAAGCGCCCTGTCTCGCGGAAGAGCGCTCGGTGAATGCAGTCCGTGTAAACAGGAAGCGGTTTCGTTATTACGAATATGTTATGCCCACGCGGTTTGGTGTTAGCCTTAGTCATCGTTTATGGGCACTCGAGATTATAAGCTCGGTCGCCAACTCACTTTCATGTTAAGCCATTATTCCAACACCACTTATTAACCCATTAAAGGCCATTGTACCGTTCCTAAACAATAAAATAATGATGACTTCATGGTGGGAATAGCATCGCTACGAGGAACCGCAGATGTCAGATTTTGTGGAAGTGATTACGCGCGCCCTCGCTTCACGCGAGAGTTGTGTATATGTGTGTATATATCGTAGAATTAAAGTTGCATCCGTCAAAGAGAAATGGGAAATTCCTGTCAAAATTTTTTCAAATTTGCCTTAAGAGAAGCTAGTTGTCAGAAACAGAGAGAGAGAGAGAGAGAGAGAGAGAGAGAGAGAGAGAGAGAGAGAGAGAGAGAGAGAGAG